GTAATTGGTGATAAGTCGTAAAAAACCACAACTAATCATCCAAAAGCAAATTTTGGAAAATGCTTAAAGTAAATATGGACAGTATGGCCTACATAATAATTATTTTATATGGACAATACAGAATAAATAATTATGTTAGTAATATATACAATGATAATGCAGACAGTGTTTTGTAATAATGAGAGAAAATAATGCATTTGCACACCACATTACATGGAGCCAAATGCCCATGTTGTTCTCGGGTGTGAGATTGGTCTCATTGGTGTGATGTGTTACTGAGACTTGTAAACTCAGATACACGTGTACAACATCAAACAGTCAAATTTTGCTCAGCCTTGTGCTATATCTACTTTAAACAACATTCTATTTAATTGTATCTCATCCAGCGATTTTAGCTCCCATGAAAGTGCAATTAATGTTAAATAGAGGTTTGTAAAACAAATCTCAAGAAAACTGTGTTATACTTATATTAGTTCGTAATTCGTACATGATATAAAAAAAAATTTAGGCACTTAATTTTCTTTTTATGAAGTTATTGAAATTTGTTTCCTCTATGCTTGGTTGTCTTATCATAAGGTTAATAATTCTGAACATAATTTTCTGAACTGCACTCTTGTTTTATTTTCCTTTAAGTAGCAAATGAGTAAGGCTTATTGTTAACAAATCTTTATGATACTTGGCTGATCAAAATTTCGCTGTTCTACCCTAAGGGATAGCTATGGTCGTGTTTGCAATGACCTTAAGCCGACGTGTACTACAACCATCTGCTCATTTTTTCACCTGGTTTCTGTAGTAAAATTGTCTGATTTCTTCAGATATACAATATTTAAATTAGAAAGAAAATCCAAGCAGACAGTTCTAGTCAATACAAGCAAAGCACAGCAAATACAATCCTTGAGTAAAGCATGGTGGACTAGTAATGGTTGAATCATTACGGACCATTAATGGTTGAAGCATTATGGGCTAGTAATGGTTGAAACATTATGAACTAGTTATGACTAAAGCATTGCAGACTAGTTATGGTTAAAACATAGCAGACTAGTAATAGTTAAGGCATTATCGACTAGCTATGGTTAAATCATAGTGGACTAGTAATGGTTGAAGCATTATGGACTAGCTATGAGTAAAGCATAGTAGACTAGTAATGGGTGAGGCATTATGGACTAGCTATTAGTAAAGCATAGTGGACTAGTAATTGGTGAAGCATTATGGACTAGCTATGAGTAAAGCATAGTGGACTAGTAATGGACGAGGCATTATGGACGAGCTATGAGTAAAGCATAGTGGACTAGTAATGGGTGAAGCATAGTGAACTAGTAATGGGTGAAGCATAGTGAACTAGTAATGGGTGAAGCATCATGGACTAGCTATGAGTAAAGCATAGTGAACTAGTAATGGGTGAAGCATAGTGAACTAGTAATGGGTGAAGCATTATGGACTAGCTATGAGTAAAGCATAGTGGACTAGTAATGGGTGAAGCATTATGGAGCAGTAACGGCTTACACTGCACATCGTAAGTAGAGAAAAGGTTATGTAGGGATATTTCATACATATAAGGGAGACCATTCATTCCTAAGATCTTTTCATTAGCTAATGAATTTTAATAATTCAATGTGACTAATACATAGCTGAATTTTAACAAACATTTTTCATTTATTAAAAAAACATTTGACTTTAGGAATGCTACAGAAATTGAATCTTATTACAGTACAGTATTACTTTATATTGAACAAATATGTCAATATAAATTTTACAAAATTTAAGTGGCTGCCACTGCATACCATGAACTATGACTACCCATTGTTGTGACCTGAAGGTGGTAAATAGTAATTTTCCTTATCTACTTGGCTAACTAATTGCACAGAATTGTGTCAGATGCAGTTATTGGTATGGATGCCATGATAGATAGTACATTAAAATGGAAATACATACTGTAGTTCAAAATATAGTATATTCCATATAATATATACACATATTATATAGATCGACTGCAAGACACAACTTCTCTTCCAGATTACATTTCTGAGGTCAGAGGCAGTAGCTTCACTCAGTCGTCCTGGGCATTTTAGGCAGAAATTATCTTTTAATATCACCTTTGAGGGGGTAAAATATATTGTGTAGTAGAAATTAATGTACATACCGTACTACCGAGTTATAGAATTTCTGTTGATAGAAAACATTAAGGAAGATTTAATAATATTTTCAGTAAGATTTGGCTATGGTGCCTAGACTGCACCAAAGAAGTTATTACAAAATTTTATTGAAGATTCAAACAGTAGCTTTTTTTTAGTTAAATAGATTTGTTTATTACTATTAAAACATCAATGAGTTAAGTAATAAATTTAATTACATTTTGTTTTACGAAATACTGTATTATAATTACATTTAGACATGGGTTGATATGAAAATACAAAATATACTTAAACTATGTACTGTATAATAGTTTTAAAATTCCATTTTTCATATTATCAAAAACCCTATTTTATTTATTTTCCTTAAATATGGTAAGTTAAATAAATTAATCAGGAATGTATTTAGTTCTCGATAAAATGAATGGCTTCCAAGTTTCATTTAAGTGGCTAAGATATTTATTAAAACATTAATGATTATGATTGATTAACCCTTCGGCCGCACAGACATGTAGCTTTTGGGGGTTGGCTAAACCCGCACAATATTTATGCTCCATATTATTGCTCAGCATGTCTTAGAAGACCTGGCTGCAAAATGTTTATACTGTAATGATACTCTAATGCACTTGAGGATTATATCCAAACGATTGTGGTGTTCGTCTAATGCTAGCACACTCTTGGAGCTCCTTGGCAGTGTGTCTTACTTGACTATTTGGTAGAGAAGTTATGTCATGGAGTAATAATCATTGTGTTCCGCTGCATCTATATTGCACCATACCTGAAGATGTGTCACATGTTAATATTTTCTGGCCAATTAAATGGTACCCTTATTATGCTTAAAACTTTTGTTTTTAACATTTCTCTATTTAAGCAGTGACAAATTAGCAGCCAATTTTGTATTCTTCGTGCAGTTATATATGCATTATTGATCTGTGCAATATCTTGAAACAATTTGTTTCTTCGAGAGTGAATTGTATAAATGCTTAAAGTTTAAGTGCATAAAGCATAAATATTTGGAGTATTTATGTTTATTTTAACTCTTGCTATTTTAATGATAAAAATGTATACGGTACCTGTACTGTAATTAGTACAAGTGTGTGCATTTTGTGGAAAATATGTTAGTGATGTCGCATTATATATTAGTGATGCTCTCTTTGCCGTTATATATGTGCTTTGTTATACAGTGGTGCAAGTTGTTCTTTAATCTAGTTTATAGCTTAAATTGTACACTATTATAGTCTTATGTAGGATTGCATAATGCAATATTGCCAGTGTTTATGAGCATTATTGTCACAAGTCTCCATCATTATGCACATATTACTGCTATAACATCTCTTAATATAGAAAAATATAGCCATAAATAAGTATTCTCTATTGCACAAAGGTCTAGATCAGATTTTGTTCCAAATAGGAAGGCAGACTACATTTGATCATAACTTTAATAAAGTTTTTCTTTTGTTTTTAATTTGAGAACAGTTAAAAGTAGAATGCATAATTAAGAAATATTTTGAATTTCATTTTTGTTTCAAGAAAATACTGTAATGTGATTTAGATATTTGACTGTATGGACACTGGAATTTACCCTTGATGTGGTAGGTATCCATTTTGATTTTTTGGCATTATTGTCATTTGTAATATTGGTTATGGACTAGAGCATTTGATTAAAATACAATGATCTGTATTGTCTAATAAATATTGTGCTTTTATTCTTAACTTTACTCTATTACTATTGTCACTCATCATTTAATGTGATAATTTCAATCATCCCTTAAGTTAACGTTTCACTCAAGGTCACATGCATACACATTCATTCTTCATTCATATTTAATATTCTAGATTACTGCTCTACTGACTAGTTGATTAACTTCATCCAATTCTATTCTATTCTTAACCAAGCACAAATAGATAATCTTAATGATCATGGTCCTGTGGACGGAACTTTTGTCTTTTCCACTGAGATGTTTCTCATTCTCTTGATACATTGCATCACTGAACAGAATCTGAACCTTATGCAAGGAAATAATAAAAATGTTTCTTAACCTAGACTAGGCAAAGTTAGACAGACTTGTATGGTTGAATGCATTCTTATTTTTAGTGATAATTTAAAGCTCGTGATCTTGTTTTCATCATAATGGCTCCTCTTACATGCAAAAGAAGGCTGGTTATATGGTCTTCTTTCAATATGTTAGCTTTTGACCATTCCTACATGTATTAACAACTGCTGAAGTTTCAATAGCCTTATTATCAAACAAGAATATTTCATGTTCATGTACAGTACATCAAGTTAGGCTCATGACTACTGGCATTGACTAGGAAATAAAGCTTTCAGCCTCTTAACACAATTTCTCAAGTACACATGAGAAGGAAAGTGTGAGTACGAGGGCACACAACACTTCTTCATGGCTTGTAAGAGCAGATTGGTCTCGGTGATATATGAGAGGGAACGTAACACTTGGGATGTGGATTAGGTTAGCATGGAATAGAAGAGATGGCAACTGGTAAGTGTGTTAGTTAAACTTAACACATGAACCTCTTCAGGTCACAAGTACATGTACTGTACCCGAGTGCCAAGTCAGGTGTTTAAGGGTACAAGTGTTTAGCGAGTGACTGGTAGAGATAAATGGGATTTACGACTGCCAGTTCAATCTCATCTTTGTTATATATATATTTAAACTTGCTTAGCACTTTATCCTCATAATTACCTTACCATTGCCATAATATTTTCTCAATGTATGCCAGCTTCCAAAGAAGGTAATACATAAAAATATGATTGCAAAATTCCTGGATCATTTTTTCATTCTATACCCCCATATCTACTGTATGCTATACAAGTACTACTACTCTGCTATACAAGAAGTACTTCTTGTATAGCAGAGTACTATACTATGTGATTGTACACATAATTTGATTTTATTGTCAATGTACAGTATTCATTTATCTGTCATAAAAGCATAAAATTGCTGTGCCATCAATGATATATTATGTATCATCCTGTAGATATATTATTGTTCTAGTTTCTTCAAAAGTGCATCATACAAGACATGCCAGTTCTTGGCAAAAATTGATGCCTTCATAACGAGATCTGCCATTCTTCCGTTTGGCCATGTGTTCAAAACATTTATGTTTGAAAAGATAAACTTTCAAAAATCAATCTTTTTAAAATGCTATTTGAGAAGAATGCAAACTTTCAAAATGTCACATGCAGAAGAAGGCATGCTTTGAAACAAAAATACACATTCAGAAAGCAGTCTCTCAGAAGCAGACAGACTCGCAAGCACACATTCCAGGAACCGAGGGACGGAGAGTAGGGTTCTCTTGTCGGACCTGGACGGATATAGACTGGACGGAGTGCAGGGTCTGGGCGCCTCACAGCATGGGACGGCAAGTTGGACAGTTAAAACTAGAATGCTAATTTTACAAGAAGATACATTGACTATATAACACCTATGGCCTTAGAAGTACAAGTATTAGTATACAGTATATTATAGTATGATTTAATTTTCAAAGGATAAAATAATATATGGTAAGTGACTAGAATAAGTATAGGGAAACTGCCATAGCAAACACGACTACAGTACTATGTACATTGACAAGTATGGAGGGAAAGACACGTACAAAACTAGTTTTAAGTACGTATTTAAATTACTTTTGAGGGATTCTTTTTACAAATTACCCTATAGGAAATGTGTACAAGAGACATTTTGTTTAGTGTCACATTTTAAGAGAATTTTTCCTTACACTTCCTATCAACAATCTTAGCAACTGTTATAGCTTGTGTGGGATGAAAACAATTCAGTTTGAAGATACCACAAGTGCTAAAGTTACTGTACTTTCTTTGTGCATTGTACGAGCAACATTATTCAAGCTCAAGAGAAATCTCAAAGTTCTCCTCTATGATCAGGCTATGGCACAGCGAATTCAGGACTTCCCGAGAGCAGCCGAGGTTAAATAATGCCTCTCTGGTTCTCACTCGGCACACTTAACACAAGGAGATTAAAATAACTAGCATACATTGCTAGTTGTATGAGAGATCGTTGCCTCCTCTTTCTTAGGCCACTCCCAGTTTTACCACAATAAGGAAATAAGGTTATGACTAGACTTGGTTGGACTAGTTCTGACTTTAGGATTCCTGGTGAGTAAAATGGTGCAAGTAAAAGAATTGCTGGTAAACACCTTTTTGCAAAATGAAAAATAATAATTTACCAGACTTCTTGTGAGCTTCACTAGTAAAACACTATAACTCCAAAGTCTTTCCTGCTTTCAAATTCAGAAATTTACATTTTCCTCACTTTATGAAAGCAATTAAAATATTTTATCTAGTAATCACTCTGTTAGGTACAGTTATCTTAAACATTTTACATCGTTTTTGTTTTGTTGAATCTTCAACAAAAGTAAACCTTATTTTTTGTTTTACAGAACGTCCAAATCTATAAGGTTATCAAAGTCAAGATTGGCATCAAGTAAGGACAACGTCTTGGCTTCATCCCATCCAGAATCAGGGCCCCAGCAAGCATGAGCGTCTTGTACCAACACGGGTGCTGTAGATGGCTCCAAGGGGGTAAGCTGAGTCAAACTACTGCAAAATGTGTTAATGGATGGAAGCTCCCCGTACCCTCCTTTATTCCAATTTACACCATTGTTGATGTTGAGGGAAGAAGTGAGAGAATCGGCATCATCATTAGAAGCTTCAGAATACTCGGGACTAGTAAAGAGATCCTCCTCCACCCCTAGAGATGCTGGACTAAGTTCTAAGGATGGTAACGTTGGAGGTGTGTTGGTTGAGGTGGTAATGGTGACAATCTGTTGGTGCTGAGAAGTCGCATGGTCACTTGTATGGAGATGATGGTGATGGAGATTCTGGTGATGGTGATGCAGGTGGGGATGTTGTGCAGAGGTGGTGGTAGTAATTGTGGCAGGGTATGTGGATGGGTCACCAGTCTGACTGAGGTCGGTTACTAATTCTTGGGCCCGACATGGCCAGGAATCATCATGGACTTCCTCCCCAAGCAATGTTGACCAAACCAAGTCATCTCTTAGATTATTGCTAGCTTCCCTTAATTCCTCATCCACTTCAATGCCTGAAAAATATGAAAATGGTTTAATTTAGTCTTATTCTTGTAATAAATAATTTATTGTCTTGTATGTCACAGAATTTTACTTTTTACTTCCATATGAATAAATTAAAATAAATTGACTATGAAAAACATTTACAGTATTTGACTCCCTATTGAATAATGATAAAGTATGCTGTAAGTTTAAGTTAAGATTTTGCACTAGACAAAATGTGCTCCCTTTCCCCACCTTTTTCCAATTTATGCCAAAATATTATAGTTGCACAATAATCTCCCAATCTTCACACTCGCCACTTGCATATCAAACATGTTATCTCTTCGACCATGCTTGTAACCTAAATTGGTTAGCATATAATGGAAAGCATCCATTACATGCAGTTAAATTTAATTTTTTATTTTTATTTTTAAATATTCTTACCATGTACAGTACCTTTATTATTTATAAACTAAGAAATATTGAACTAATGAAGTACAGTATTTGTGTTAGTTTATGTGCCAAGTTACTTTCAGATTTCACTAATCTAATCTCCAAGATATATCCTGTAGGGCCTTTCATCTTGAAAAAGTGTTGTTGTGGAAGGGTCAGTATAGCAAACATCAGACACAAATGTAGCAACATCTCAAACAAAGAAGGTTAAAATAAAGTATGGTTTCATGGTAGGGTCAAAATAAAGTATGGTTTCATGGTAGGGTCAAAATAAAGTATGGATTCATGGTAGGGTCAAAATAAAGTATGGTTTCATGGTGGGGTCAAAATAAACAAAGATCTTGCATGTAGAACAAAGTTTAGGAAGCACACTTGATTTTTTTTTGTCATGTTGGTCATTATTGATGTGCAATTGAAAACTATATTTACTCTAATGTATATTCATTATATGTTTGGTACATTCAAGATTCCTAAACTACTGTACTCGCTTTTATTCGGTGAATCTTCCTCTGTATTTAGATGATTTTTGATTCATACATACACCTCTTTAATCAATGTTGGGGGGGGGGATCACTATTTTTAGAATGGTACTTTCTTCCTGCGAGCAGAAATAGCAACAGGAGCCTGATGTATCGATAATGGCACTACAGCTTCAGTGCCATAAGCTCGTTTGTGTAATAAGGAAACCACTCAAAGTGACATGCCATTACTCATTGCTTTTGAATGGACTACCGATTGTTTTCTTTGACATTTTTGATCTTTGAACTTTTAAGAACTCTAGATCTATTACTTTACCTCGGAATAAATCACATTTTTTGTTATCAACTTTTCCCAAGGTAACACTTGCACAATGCAGAAAATGTTTAACTTTGCATTAAGCTATTTTATTTACGAGATAAACTGAATACTTTTAGAGCATGTGTAACTAGATATCTCAAACACTCGATGTGGTGATCAAACTCGCTTCTCACTTCAAAAATATTTGTAATAAAATTCCCACTTCATCTCGTAGTTGGAGAGTTGCAAACTTTTAGCATGGCGGTGTGTCCATACCAGTCTCCTCCAGTGGCCTCTTCCTTCCTGCTCCCAGTAATAACTAATATTTGTCATGATGCTCTCTGTTTCTTGTAATGGTTATTATTTACTACAGAACCTATTGTTTACTGAAGCGTTTTAATTTTTAAATAATTGTCAACTAATAATTCACAACTAGGCAGTTTATTGTAAACTATTTGACAAAACCTCCATTTCTCTTTATGAAAGTTTCTTATATTTGTCGAGTATATCCTTGTACAGGTAGATGAAAAACTTAATCTGAAATGTTAATTTTGCTACAATAGACAAGCAAAAAAACGGATGTCCAAAGAACTGACCATCTTGGGTGAGGATGTGTGGCCGAGGAGGAGGTTTGTTGGTGGGGGGCGGCATGAAGGCTGCCTGCGCCGGCTGCACCACCACCTTGATGCCCAGTGGGTGGGTTACCACCTGCTGGTGGGCAGGCGGCCTTCTGCTCTTTTTGGACTTAGACGGTGGGGGAAGTGTTGGTCGAGCTGGACGGCGCTTCTTAAACACTCCATCGACGAGAGACTCGGCATACTCGGGGTCCAGCTTCCAGAACCCGCCTTTACCTGGCTCGTCTTTACTCCGAGGCACCTTCAGGAAGCACTTGTTGAGAGAGAGGTTGTGACGGATGGAGTTCTGGGGTGAGGAGGAGCAGGAGTCAACTGAGTACATGTGAACACATGTAAATATTATAATAACTACAATAATAATAATAATGGAGAAACTACAATGCCATAGTGCTTGAATGAAGGCGAGGGACAGACCTAATACTGTACACGTATAAATGTATTAAAAATCAAATTGTCAGATGTAACCTACAGCCTTTCTCAATGTACTGTATAGAACCTATATCCAATTTTTTTTATGTAAGTTACAACCGAAAATTAGTTTTTTAATAAATTTATGCATATATATTGGGTCTTTACTTCACTTTCAATAATAATAACAACTAAGGTATCATTTGAGAAAGTATGCAGTCTCCTAAATCATAATAAAACAATACCATAATAACAAGCAGCAACTTAATTAATAACTTAATAAATGAGCTTGAAACCATTTCTCCTTAACAAGTAACAGTGTAGGACTGAAAACAGATGCTTAACATCTGGATTAAGTTCTTCACCCATAGGGTTATTAACCCATGGAACTGCCTACTCGCTGAAGCCATAGGTACTGTACGAAAAAAAAAGTTAAATTTTTAAAATCCAAATGGAAAAAAATCATCAGGGTGGGGTGGGGGGGCCATTGACAAGATGCCGCTTCCTGTCCTCGTCTCCACTAGTGCGTTAGTGGCCTTCAGATAAACCCGTTATTACCTAAACCCGTTATCTTTTTTCTTGTGTTTTTCCGACCTCGTTTTTTTCTCTGCTTTCCTTTCGTGGTCAAGAGTGGCGATGCCCTCGTGATAACTATAGTGTGTGGGGTAACATTATGCAGGTATCATGTAGAAAGGTACTTAAGGTTATCAGAATGGTGATATTACCAGAAAAATCACGTAAATGCAGGCGATGAGTCACAATAACGTGGCTAAAGTATGATGACAAGACCACACACTAGAAGGTAAAGGGACGACGACGTTTCGGTCCGTCCTGGACCATTCTCAAGTCGATTCTTGAGAATCGACCATTCGATTCGACTTGAGAATGGTCCAGGACGGACCGAAACGTCGTCGTCCCTTCACCTTCTAGTGTGTGGTCTGGTCAACACGTAAATGCAGTTTTGGCAAATTTCTGAATAGCTTTTAAATACGTAAGATAGTGAAATATCAGCTATAAACTGGAGTAGGCAGATGTGGTGTGGCGCTCACATAGTGAACTGTAGCATACAGCTGTAGTGCAATACCCGCACAATTACACTTTGGCAATTACACTGCAGTGCGGTACCCGCATACAAGCTAGTGTACAGCTGCAATGTGTGACCCGCACACAAAGAAATATAGAAATAAAGTTTAAAAATCACAAAGAAATGCAACGGAATAAATGTTAACTATAGTTTGGGGTTACGAGGAAATATTACTCTTTGGACAAGCTCAAATTGGACGACGGATGAGCAGGAGTGGATAAGATATAATCATCCCGTCCTCACAGCGTGGGGGGGCCATCAGACCAACTCCCTGTTGATGAATGAACGATACTTTACACACGACTCACGACTGCCTAACTGCTGACGCTGTCCGAAACGCTTTGCGAAAAAAAGTGGCTTCATTAGTTGGCCAGTACCCGTGGTGTAGTGGTTAAGACGCTCGCCTGGCGCTTTGTCCTGGGTTCGTATCCTAGCCAGGGAGGATTTACTGGGTGCAAATCCTTAACTGTAGCCTCTGTTTAATTCAACAGTAAAATGGGTACTTGGTTGTAAAAACGATTCTTCGCGGGGTCGTATTCCAGGGAACATAGGGTTAAGGACTTGCCCAAAACGCTACCCATACTAGTGGCTCTACAAGAATGTATGAACTCTTGTATATATAAATAATAAAAAAAAGTATGTGTAACTCCTGTCCTTACAATTGTACAGTACTCTTATGTTCTTTGTGCACATTCTTTTGAATAAACATTATCATTGTCGTTCGAACACTGTTTCGATCACTTCCAATATTTGAATCGCACGTTTAAAAATTGCTTTATACCCAGGTACTGGAAATACAAGTAATTACCAACAGAACCAAAACACCTAACCTAACCTCTCTTAGGCCTAAGCTATAAACAAAATTCTAATTACGATAATATAAATTTATATTCGAGAAATATATAATTTTTGATTGATGTTAAAATTCACGGGATGATTATACTGAAGGAAGTGAACGAAGCCCGTCTCGAACCACTTTAAAACAGTCAGTTTGACAAATGTAAAATAGTGGAGACAATCACTGACTTATATAGTCCATATTTTGTACATACACATTGTGAACTAGACAGGTCATTGTTTTGATGATAGACTGTTATAATAAACAGGCTGTTTGACAGGGAAGGAATCATTACGAGGCGTCACAAAGGGAAACCGAGCTCCCGAATGAGTAAATCAAACAACAAATATGTTGACCAGACCACACACTAGAAGGTGAAGGGACGACGACGTTTCGGTCCGTCCTGGACCATTCTCAACTCGATTGAGAACTAGTCCAGGACGGACCGAAACGTCGTCGTCCCTTCATCTTCTAGTGTGTGGTCTGGTCAACTTACTTTAGCCATGTTATTGTGTCTCATCGTCTGCAAACAACAAATATCATCAATAGGCAGCCCGTCCTCTATACAAAGACTCAAAGTTTATTACATGCACCCGCCAAACCCCCAGCTGTTTATGAATGAAAAACGGTTTACACACGACTCACAACTGATGACGTCCGAACACTTCCGGAACAAGTGCTTCACTGACGAATTATGTTCGAACCACAACGCTGTAAATGCTTCACCCACGTTACTACAAATACAAATAATCGCCAACAGAACCTAAAGACTTAACTTAGCCAATGCCTAAATATGCACAATATGCTAATATATAATAATATTAATTTATATTTGAGAAAAATTCTGTTTTGGATGAAAAGAATGTTAAAATTGGTGATGAATGCGTCTTTGGGGTCGACCGCTGGATAAAATGGACTTCATCTGAGGACGGGTTGCAATAGGAGAGTATAGTGAGGTAGTGGAGTGCACGACAAACTCCACTTGCTTGGTGGAGGTGTCGAACGGAATTATTAATAGCTGAAGGGCGGGACGCAACACCTGGATTTCAATCGCTCACAAACAGGTGAGTGAACGCTGAGACAAGCAGTCTGACACATAACCTGGCTAAAGGGAAAAAGTAGTTTGGCATCATTACAGTTTAAAAGGTCAACTGTTAAAAGGTTGGCGGCGTCGAAGAACTAAGAACTCAATGCTCTAAATTCTGGTAAAGAAGTTATGTAACTAGGCGCACACAGTCATCACTACAGAGTACTGTACAAGCGCCTGCCCTTCCAGCCACCTTCCCCCCCCCCCCCCCCCACCTCGCCTGACATTTAGTATAGCGGCAGAATTGCCAATCAGCACTGGATGGATCCCGCCCCCACCCCCCCACCCCCCTCGTGCACCTGGTGAGGGGGGAGGGGGTTCTTGTGTTTGTTTATATTTGCTCATCCTGTGGAGTTATGTCCAGTGGAAAGATGTAGGAGGCGACGTCTGTTATTTTAGATTCAACTACTTGGAACAAAAGTTCCAAAGTAGCACGGGCTATGGTGATCCCGTAGTGGACTTACCTGGCACAGGAGCGAGGCTGTAACTCTGGGCGGCATCTGTCTCGTTGAGTACATATGTGTGTGAGGTGTGTGTCTCTGGTGGATTCGTGTCCCCAGCGACCCGTCCAGACGTTCCTCCGACACCTATCACTCATTCTTAGACGCTGCCTAGCTCTTGTTACTCCTTATCTTTAGTTAATTCTCTATCACACTCCCCCCCCCCGCCTCTCCCTCCCCCCACACATGTCCCCCACCCTCAACCCTCCCTCACACTCCCCCCACCACCCCTCACACTTCAGTACTGACACTCATCACCAAAGTAGCCATCACTGTGAGTGTCCATCAGTAAGCCTCGCCCCTCATGTCTTTACCCGCTCTTCCCTCATTAATATTGAGCCTCCCGCGTCACGCCTCACACTCCTCCATTATTAATTATCCTCATCTCTGGTCTCTCTCCCTCCCGTCTCCTCTGGTCACTCATGTTACTCGCTCTTCCACTCAGTCGTCCAGAGTACTGACTCTTGTTAGCTGCTGGCTCCGTTTAGCACCTACTGAGGTCTGCTGCCTGCGTCTGGCCAGAGGGGGTCTGCTGCCTGCGTCTGGCCAGAGGGGGTCTGGTGCCTGCGTCTGGCCAGAGAGGGTCTGGTGCCTGCGTCTGGCCAGAGGGGGTCTGCTGCCTGCGTCTGGCCGGGGGGTCTGCTACCTGCGTCTGGCCGGGGGGTCTGCTGCCTGCGTCTGGCCGGGGGGTCTGCTGCCTGCGTCTGGCCAGAGGGGGTCTGCTGCCTGCGTCTGGCCAGAGGGGGTCTGCTGCCTGCGTCTGGCCAGAGGGGGTCTGCTGCCTGCGTCTGGCCAGAGGGGGTCTGCTGCCTGCGTCTGGCCAGAGGGGGTCTGCTGCCTGCGTCTGGCCAGAGGGGGTCTGCTGCCTGCGTCTGGCCAGAGGGGGTCTGCTGCCTGCGTCTGGCCAGAGGGGGTCTGCTGCCTGCGTCTGGCCAGAGGGGGTCTGCTGCCTGCGTCTGGCCAGAGGGGGTCTGCTGCCTGCGTCTGGCCAGAGGGGGTCTGCTGCCTGCGTCTGGCCAGAGGGGGTCTGCTGCCTGCGTCTGGCCAGAGGGGGTCTGCTGCCTGCGTCTGGCCAGAGGGGGTCTGCTGCCTGCGTCTGGCCGGGGGGTCTGCTGCCTGCGTCTGGCCAGAGGGGGTCTGCTGCCTGCGTCTGGCCAGAGGGGGTCTGCTGCCTGCGTCTGGCCAGAGGGGGTCTGCTGCCTGCGTCTGGCCAGAGGGGGTCTGCTGCCTGCGTCTGGCCAGAGGGGGTCTGCTGCCTGAGTATACCTGCTGTATTTCAGTGACTACGGTGACTCCTCACCGTCACTCGGTTCACTGCTCACCTAGTTGTGCTTGCGGAGGCCGAGCTCCGGCTCTTTGGTCCCGCCTC